TTTTTTTAATTATAATTTATATTCCCTAGGCTGTAAGACATTTACCACCTGCCGCCCAAGATGAATATCGTCAGCTGGTCCATCGCATGAAATTGCTGGAAAATCAAAGAAACAAAAAAGATCCTGCCAAGCCAAATGAAAATACCCCAGGCAGCCAAAGAAACAATGAAACAAAATTGGAATCATCAAACCAAAATGAGAGCAAATCTAGTCTGGTTAAAAAGGTTCTATTGAGAAATACTCAAAAACCTCCTCCTCCTTCTACAACAGCCAGCAATGAAAAATCAACAACAGATGCCACCCCTTCTCCTCCACATCATCATCATTCCAAGACTCATAAAACAGATGTTTTGCGTTCCTATGAAAATTTATATGCCAAAATTGGGTAAGAAATTTTAATTATTTTTTTTTCTTAAAATTATTTAATATGTTTTCTTTTTCCTTAGTTCCGGCATTGTTAACAATCTCGATAAATCTCTAAAACTTGTTGAAGAGGCCAAAAAAGCCAAGGCACAAAAATTAAAGTTAGAGGAACGCATCAAAGAATTAAAGGCTGAAATGGAATTGCTACAAACTAAGCACAAAGAAGAAGAACAAAAAATATCACGCATTTATCCGACGATATGTTCAACAAATGAGGTCATTACCTCATTGAAACAGAAGCGTAGTAAAGTTTTTAAAGCGGCCATTGGCTTGGGAAAATCCCTAAAGGGTGATGATTATAGGTGAGTGGAATCAGAAAAACAAAATTGGAAATACTTGGATATAAAATAAGAAAAAAATCTGCATATGGTCTTCTAATAGAAGTCACTAATAATCTGCTTATAGAAGACACAAATAGTTTACAAATAGAAGAGCCATATTGTCATCTATAAGGAAATTTTTTGTTCGTCTGTAAGAAGATCATTTGGTCTTCTCAAATAAGACCTTTTGCTCTTCTAAAAGAAAACCGTTTGGTCTTCTCAAAGAAGAATATTTGATCTTCTAAAAGACCTTTTGGTCTTCTATATGAAGAGCTTTTGGTCTTCTATACGAAGACCTTTTTGTCTTCTATATCAAGAGCTTTCGACTTATATGCTTTTGGTCTTCTCAAGGAAGAGCTTTTGGTCTTCTCAAGGAAGAGCTTTTGGTCTTCTCAAGGAAGAGCTTTTGGTCTTCTCAAAGAAGAGTTTTTGTTCTTCTCAAAGAAGAGATTTTGTTCTTCTCAAAGAAGAGATTTTGTTCTTCTCAAAGAAGAGCTTTTGTTCTTCTCAAAGAAGAGCTTTTGTTCTGAAGCTCATTTATTGCTTCTATATGGAGGCCATTTGAGACTTCCTTCCTTTGAGACCTTTTGGTCTTCTAAAGGAAGACCTTTGGTCTTCAAAACGAAGACTTTTTCGTCTTAAAGAAGACCGTTTGGTCTTCTAAGAGAAGACCTTTTGGTCTTCTATGAGAAGACCTTTTGGTCTTCTATGAGAAGACCTTTTGGTCTTCTATGAGAAGACATTTTGGTCTTCTATGAGAAGACATTTTGGTCTTCTATGAGAAGACCTTTTGGTCTTCTATGAGAAGACCTTTTGGTCTTCTATGAGAAGACCTTTTGGTTTTCTATGAGAAGATCATTCTACGAGAAGACCTTTTGGTCTTCTATGAGAAGACCGTTTGGTCTTCTATGAGAAGACCGTTTGGTCTTCTATGAGAAGACCGTTTGGTCTTCTATGAGAAGACCGTTTGGTCTTCTATGAGAAGACCGTTTGGTCTTCTATGAGAAGACTTTTTGGTCTTCTATGAGAAGACCTTTTGGTCTTCTCAAAGAAGAGCTTTTGGTCTTCTCAAAGAAGAGATTTTGGTCTTCTCAAAGAAGAGCTTTTGGTCTTCTCAATGAAGAGATTTTGGTCTTCTCAAGGAAGGTATTTTTGTATTCTAAAGGAAGAGATTTTGGTCTTCTCAAGGAAAAGCTTTTGGTCTTCTCAAGGAAGGTATTTTTATATTCTAAAGGAAGAGATTCTGGTCCTCTCAAGGAAAAGCTTTTGGTCTTCTCAAGGAAAAGATTTTGGTCTTCTCAAGGAAGAGCTTTTGGTCTCCTCAAGGAAGAGCTTTTGGTCTCCTCAAAGAAGAGATTTCGACATTCTAAAGGGAGAGCTTTTGGTATTCTCAAAGAAGACCTTCTGGTCTTCTCAGGGAAGACCATTTTGCTCTTCTTTTAGAAGACGATTTGCTCTTCGATTGAAAGACGATTTTGTTCTTCTATTAGAAGGCAATTAGCTCTTCTATAAGAAGGCCATTTGCTTTTGTGTTAGATAGTCTTTTAAGGCTTCTATGCAGAGGCCATTTGAGACTTCTATTAGAAGGTCATTTGCTCTTCTATAAAAATACAGTTGCTCTACTATAAGAAGACCATTAAAGAAGACTATTAGAAGACAATGTGATCTTCTATCAGAAGACAATTTGTTTTTTATTAGAAGCCTATTTGATCTATTAGAAGACCATTTGCTCTTTGATTAGAAGATCACTTGCTCTTCTATTAGAAGACCATTTGCTTTTCTATTTGAAGGCCATTTAAGGCTTCTATGTAGAGCCATTTGAGACTTCAATTAGAAAGGTATTAGGTCATATATACGATGAGCATTTGCTCTTCTATTGGAAGAAAACAGTTTGAGGCTTATTTTATAATGTCATTAGGCCGTATATAAGAAGATCCCTTCGAAGGCCATTTCGGTCCCTATTTTGGCCTTCTTTTTAAAGGCTATTATCAACATTTTTAGACTTCGATTTAGGAAAGAATTATTTCTTCTACTGAAATACTTTTAGAACCTCCAATTTGAAGACATGAGAATCTTCTATTAGAAATCAATTTGGGTTGTATGTTAGAAGTCTCTGGTTAATGTCAACCTTTGTTTAATTAATCTCCTTTTCTTGTGTCCTCTTTTTTCCCTCCTTCATTATAGATTAAATAATGATTTAAAACAAAATATTATTAGTAAAACAAAACTATTGGCTACCGAAATTAAGGTAGTCAATTCCCTAAAGGCTGATAATATAAAGACATTAATTGATGAACAAGAAGAAGAAGCACATACAGAACAGAAGGATGTGGAAGAAAAAACTGAAAAAGAAGAACGTACAGCTGAAGAAAGCACATCTATTAAAGATAAGGAAACAACACCTGCCATAAAAGAAGAAGATGAAATGCAAACAACACCTGCCATAAATGAAGATGAAATGCAACGTAACGAGGAAATGGCAAATGAAACTCCCTGCGAAATTGGCGCTACCACAGAAGTGCGTTTAAACAACAAGACAACAGTAACTTGCCCTATATATTTTTACATATAATTACATACCAAACAAACCATAGTGATGAATAACTCTTAAACGGCTTTCTATATTTAAAGAAAAATATGTATCACAAAAACAGAAATTGAAAAAAATGATATTAACCCTCTCTATTAACATAATTTGTTGAGTTAGTTTCAGGATGATGCTGCTAATGATGGACATGATGTTGTTGCTGCCGACAAGGGATCGCCGCCGTCTTCTAATATTATCTGTGATACAAATTCCAATAGTGAATCTGAAACTCTGGGTAGTGATAAAGATTTGAGGGATGCAGAGAAACCCACCAATGAGGAGAAAGAGAAGGAAGAAGCGAACGAAGAAGAAGAAAGCGAAAGAATTACAAAATCTTTGCCATCCTATATATCCCCCTTGGAACACATACGCTGTAGTAATGAAGGGTAAAACCATATCTTTCCATTTATTTTTTCAAAATTTCCCGTTAGTGGTACTTTTATCTTGATCTTTGTTTTTTCCAAATTTTTTATTTTATTCTCCAGTACTTTGGATCCGAATGGTGTTATTTGTCCCTATGATCTCATGGGTAATTGTGAGGATGTTAATTGTAAATATGTACATATAACGAAACAGGCTAACACCACCAACAAACAACAAGAGGAAGCTACACAAGCAAGCTCCTCCTGAATGTGGTAAAATGATGATTGATTGCCGCTGGGCCCGCCATGGTGAATTGTGAATTTTGGGTAAGTTGTTATTAAATAACCTTTAAAGACCTTAGCCTTGTAAGCATTTAACTGAGACAAACAAAAAACAATTACAAAGGCTTTCCCTATCCTGCCTCCAAAAAGAAAAAACACAAGTAATTATAAAAAAATACAATTCGTCGTTGCTAATAAAAAATCAGTGTCTTTCTTGTTAATTTCCAATGCTAGTTATATATTTTTTTCTTTGTTTGTTTTTTAACTGGAATTATTTTGCCCTCCCCCACATTTTTTTTTGTTAATTGTTGATTTATTTTTTTCCCTATACAAATTTATTTTTTAAATTATTACCAAATTTTTAGGTGCCATTTTAGAGAGTGAGAGCAAGATTTTTAATTTATTTATTTTTTTTCACTCATCCTTTGTTGTATACATCATTCACAATCCCTCCATTTTTTTATTATTATTTTATAACAAAACTAACAGAAAGACACTTGATTTATAAAAAATATATATACAAATTAAAAAAAAATATAAGTAATTATTAAAATATATTATCTACCTTGAATGATATACTATTTTGTAATGTTATGTTAAGAAAAAATATTCAAAGTTAAAGAAAAAATAAAAAATAAATAAATAAATATAAAAAAAAATCATAATCAATATTTTTGCTAAAAACAAAAATGAAATAAATAAAAAAACATGCAAATTTGTATTACTGATACAATTTTTTTTTATTTTTTATATTTTTTTTGGGGTTTTTCAATTTTTTTAATTCAAAACTTACATAGCTAAAGAGAGAAAGTTGAGGTCCTAATACATATTTTTTTAAATAATAATAAAAAATTAAAAATAAATTTGTTCTATCACAGCCAATTCAGTAACTTAAAAAATAAATAGGGTTTTCATTCCTTCAGCTTCTATACAAAAAAAAAAAACATCTAAAATTTTCTTCTTCTTATTCAATTTTGTTCTAATATAATCCAATAATTTGGAAAAAAAAATCTACTTCTTAACATCCTAAAATTGTGGTTCCGCTCTATAATACACATATTCATAACACCATTCTTTGACACCCTCAACATTGCCACAACACAATGGATATACCGTTGTCGATTTGGTAATTTTGGCGCAGCGCATACACAGTTCCATGGCACTTTGATCTGCCTCACATTGCCGTACTTGTTCTTTGGTTTCTTCATCCAGCCGTCCATTATATTCACCACTGTGATCATCATTTAAATAATCTTCATCGACTGGCATACTGTTGACGGGTTTGAAGGCGGGTAAAATGATGGCCACACTCAGGAGCAGTATCACGGTAAAGATAATCTGAAATTGTAAAAAATAAATGCGTTAATAAGAGTAATAAAAATCGGGGCTAGTCTAAGAGAATCAGCGGGAAAATTTTATTTTAATGGTAGTCAATTCAAAATAATGGATTTTGACAGGAAACTTGAGAAACTGATATACAGCCCAAAGCTATTAATAAGGTCAAACAGCTATCGAAAGTCAGCTGCTAATGTCAAAATAAGGTCACCCAGCTACCGAAAGTCAGCTGCTAATGTCAAAAATTTGGTCCAAGATCTATAAATAAGGTTACCCATGTAGCAAAAGTCAGCTGTTTTCTCAAGTAATGTAGGCCAAGCATGGGAATTGATGCCCTTGTTCACATGTATCAATAAGCTCGTTCTCTTCGTTCTCTTTTTGTAAGACATTTCATATGGTGGTTTCTCCTTTACTCTCCTCTCTTTTTGCACACCTCTATTCTCAAGCTAGATCCATATAACATTTCAAATGGTTGGCAACACTGCACAACGAATTCAAGTAGAAATTACCCACTTTGACAGTTAATTAAGACATCAGCTGCGCTAAATGGACTACCTATTCATTGTGCCATGGCTAGATCTATTAATATGGGTGACCTTATCAAACTTGAGTGGCAGCTGATATCCAGCTGGTCTCCCTGGGTGTCCTTATTTAGAGGACATGATTTGCCTTTGTTTTCGTTACAATAATGGATGTAAATTCACAATAATGGATTTTGACAGGATACTTGAGAGCAAGGCCTATAAATAAGGTCGTCCAGGGAGACCAGCTGGATATCAACTGTCTCTCAAGTTTGCTGTCAAAATCCATTCCAGTGAACTGACTTCCATTATGAAAACGTCGCATTTTTTGCATTAGACTTGTGTAAAAACAGCTGACTTTCTCTAGCTTGGTGACCTCATTAATAGATCTTGCTGGGGAGGCAGCTGATATCCAACTGGTCTCCCTGGGCGACTTGATTAATAGACCCATAATCCATTTCCAGCTAGCGAAAGTCAGCTATTTTTTCTCAAGTCTAATGTCAAAAATGTGGTCTTTGTTTTCGTTATAATAATGGAGGCCAATTCACAATAATGGATTTTGACAGCAAATTTAAGAAGCAGATGATATCCAGCTGGTCGGCCTAATTTATAGGCTTTGAATAGACCTTGATACCGTTTTGCCGTAATTTTATCGTCGTATTAATTCGTAAAGCATACTCAATGTAAATATATCATTAAAAATAAATAGAACAGCTGTTTATTTGACAACAAACATATGGCAAAATTTTCTCAATCTACTATATAATAATTTATAATTTTCGAAATATGAAAAATTAATAATAACAAATTATAAACATTTTTTTTAAAACAACTGTAAAAAAATTCCCACATTTTTTATTATTATTGTTTATAATTAAAATAATACAAATTATTTATAATTATTATTCTAATGTAAATCGGGACATTTTACGAATCATACTTTTTATGATAAATCATAATTGATTGTTTTAAATTGTCAATTCCCTTTTGCAAATGTCAAATAAACGGTATATGTGTGTTTTATGATAAATCGTCATTAAATCTTAAAACATGCTCGATGTACATATACCCTTAAAAATAAATACAACAGCTGTTTATTTGACAACAAACATCTGGCAAAAATTTGCCAATATTCAAATTCAAATTGCCATAATTCAAACATTTCAAAATATAAAAATTAATAATAACAAATTATGAATATTTTTTTTTCAAACAACAATAAAAAATCCCCAAATTTTTATTATTATTGTTTATAATTAAAATAATACAAATTATTTATCAGTCTGTTTTTTTTTGTGGTTTGTTGAAATTTTAACTCTCTATGACCTTTGATTAAAAAGAAAAGCCAAACCAAATTTCTTGGGAACAAATGGTAATTGCCGTTAATATTTGACAAGTGTGCGCGTGTGTGTGTTGTCTACATGACAACAGGCAATAGACTTATCTCATTTTTTAATAAACAAAAATATATTTCATGTCTAGGATCTTAGATTTCGTTTGAATTTGTTTTTGTTATGTCTGGAGTACCTATTTAACACATGGGAAGCAAATTTTGTTGAGGGCTTTGTGACTCAGCAAGAAATTTGTGATTTGTAAATTTTAAAACAAAATTTGATTTAATCTCTATGTTGGGTTAGTAGGAACAACATCGCGAAGAAATTCATTTAAATAATCCGGAAATAATGCCACTGTTGTGATGTGATGTTAAAGTACGTTTACACTTTACGATTTTAAACTGAATCGTTTAATAACATCTTAAAGCCTGTTTAGACTATAAAGTTCACTCGATCTCAATTCCATAAGGTTTACCTCAAGTAAATCCTATTCAAAAATACTGTTGATTTTTTATATCGAATGGAATATCTTAAATAAATTTTAATGTATAAATCGATTTGATATCTAAATCGAGGTACAAAATCCTTGCTGTAAATGATATAAAGCCAGTCAGCTGATATTTGTTTACGTATACATAAATGTTTCTAATTCTAAAACTTTCGTCATTCTAATTGGAATTGCTCTTCAAATATTTAATAATTTTGAAATCAATCATTATTTTGTTAGACAACTATTTTAAATATTAACGAATTTCGGCATGATGCTATAAGGGGAAGTGGTGCATTTTCTGGCACGAAAGCATTGTTGTATTTGAAATGATCCCTATGTAGCATAGATAATGAGTGGATTAAAAAAGGTAAATCGAGTCTGAACTAGATTTGGGAATTAAATCAAGAGAAAAAAACTCTATAAGTTAGACGCCAAAATTAATTGTTTAATCAAATTAAGACTACTATTACTATTAAGAAATTCACTCGATCTCATATGTCAATTGCATAGCGTATACGTCAAATCAAGATCTATTAATAAGGTCACCCAGCTAGCGAAAGGCAACTGTTCTTTCTTATATCTCATGTCAAAAATTTGGCGTTTGTTTACGTTTTCATAATGGAAGTCAATTCACAATATGGATTTTGAGAGCAAACTTAAGAGACAGTGGATATCCAGCTGGTCTCCCTGGACGACCTTATTTATAGGCCTTGCGTCAAAAATAATCCACTGTAAAGAAATGACAATTTAGATCTACTGGATTTAATAATTCGTTCGTTTACATTATACTGGCTTTAATTAACACAATGTATTTTAATTGTCAATTCTATTGCATATTTGTCAAATAAATCCTCATAGAATATGTTAACCCCGCAAAAAGTTCTAATGTAAATGCCATTATACTCCAAAAATTATTTTCGGAAGAAAAGCAGATATTCCACTTATTTCTGACATTTTTAGTAAAATCGACATAACAAGCCATAATGCTGAGTTGTATTTACTGTTCGTTTTTCCTTCCGGTATTTTTGTATACTTTAGGCAAATTTTTATGCGAATAAAGGAGTTGCTTGTGATTTTAAGGGACATGCTGCAATAATAAGGTGATGTATCAAAACAAATATTTGGTTTTATTCCGACCATCTGTCAATTTTTTTTCTTATAATATTTCATATGGTAGCAACATTGCACATCGAATTCAAGTAGAAATTACGCACATTGACAGTTAATCGAGACATCAGCTGCGCTAAACGGACACTTTTTTATTGTGCAATGGCAAGGGATTTAGATTTCTGGAAAAATTGTCCTGTGTAAACGATTGGTCCGTCAGTGAGTGTATATGAACCACAATCTCAAAAAAGCAAAAGGTTTTAAAATTAGTATATTCTTTCAGATTCAGAAACGAAATTATTGCCGACGGCTTTTTTAAAAAGCTCAAAAAATTAAAAAAAAATCTGTGTCATGTTGTTTGTTATAGATTAGCCAGACCACTTAAATTACCTCGCTAAAAATATAAATAATTTTAGCTTCCAATATCCAAAAATATCAGATACGGCCCACAATTGTATGTATAACCGACGGTTCTTTAAAAAGTCCAACAATTTAAAAAAAATACGAAATCCACTCGATCTCAAATGTGAACTCTATTGCTTATGCGTCAAATATAATCCACTGGATTTGTGAACAGTATTAACGTGAGTTATAACGGAATTGACATTTGAGATCGAGTGGATTTGGTAGTCTAAATGTAGCCTTAGTTATAAATAACCCGGAAATGTCACTTAACTTAGGTCCGGTTTCTGTTTTCTGTTATGCGGTAGCTTCATATTTTTCGAAAAAACAAAATTCAAAGATAATTTTTTTATTCATGTTTTTTTTTAATAAAAAATACTGTGTCATATTTGTTGTTAAAAATTAACCAGGAAGTGTCATTTAAAGTACCACGCTAAATATAGCAACAATTTTAACTTCCAATGTCCAAAACAAAATATTATCAGTTTCACTTAGGTCCGGTTTATGTTTTTCTATTATGCGGTAGCTTTATATCTTCCCCAAAAAAAATTTTCTTATTAAGAAAAATATATATATTTATATATATTTATTTATACATATTTTATTAACTTCTTTATTTATCTTTTTTTTAATTTGTATTTTTTGTATCACATTTTTTTATTTTTATTAAATATTTGTTTTTTTTTTCAAAAAATCACATTTGTTGCAAACCAATTCATTCACTTACATTTTGTTTCATTTTGCCTAAATATATTTATTTGTTTTTATTGTTTTTAATATTTTGTTTCAATTTTTTATTTTAACAATTTGTTATAATTTGCGATAATTTAAGCGGCGTTTAGTTTGCTACAACACGACCATTTAAACTGAATTTTTGAAATAAGCGAACGGATTTTATATATAACATTCGATCTTTCTTTTTTAGATACGTACATACGAATTTAATGAGCATGATTGTACACTACAGAATGCAGTACTTGAGTGTGGGAAACAGACATGGCTGTCGCGCCGTTGTTGCCCTTTATCTAATCAATAACTATAATTGAAGCACCTTGTTTATGTGATATTTATCTAATCACTCGCACAACTGAATCGCCCTGTTGTTTTGTCCCCAAAAATACTTCAACTATTTCCCCCTCCAATAAAAGTATCAACTATTAACGTTTAATCATGATTTAAATTTTGCAAAATCATGATCATTTGAAAGAATAATTAAAAAAATTCATATTGGATTTCCCAAAAAATAAACAACAACAATATATTGCATAAACTATTTATAGGGTAAACACGTTGTTAATAAAACCAACTGTCTGTTTCTTCCACTCATTTTAACGGTTTTCTCATTTGTGTTATTTTTTTCCCTCTCTCTCTCTCTCTGTTATTATCTCTCAACACACGAGTGCATTACGTACAGAACATGATTATGGTAATATAAGTGTGTTCGTTAAACCGAACCGAACACTCTAGCTCCGATTATTTGTGATTCTTGTAGGAACATGCTAAAGCCGAAGAAACACCGTTATACGACAGTTTAAAGTCTAAAGGCAACTGCAGCACAACACCACAACACGATTGTGCTTGTGTTTATTTTGGGGGATTTCACGGCAAACTCCCCCGCCAAAAATGACTGACAAATGACCCATAGCTAAAGGTGGGTTTTGATATGGCAAAAAATGCTGGAAAATAAATAAAAGTATATTGAAATATGTTGCAACAATGTTGTCATTTTTCAGAATTGTAGAGATTTTGACTTTTTTTGTTGTTAAACCATAAATCAGTCAAATATATATTTTTTTGCATTGCTACAAATTTTAATGGGAATATTGTTTTTATTTAAAGACCAATAATCTTTAAGAAATAAAAAGAAACAACAACAACGGCATTATAATTGCTTCGGACTAAATCGTTTTTTTTTGTTGATAACAAAATAACGATTTGTTTTTAACATCGTTCTTCTTCTTCATCGTCTTTGTCGAAGAAGAAGAACCACAATTTATACAATATTTACACCTACATAAGTTATTCTCGTACCAGGACAAGAGATAATGAAGTAGGTGCAAATCTATATATAAATAACTTTATTACAATGAAAAAGAAAAGAAAAAAAATTATTACTGTATATATGTATGTAAATTAAAATTACCCTATAAAAAGAAACAGTGTATGTTTGTAGAAAATAATTGTTAGTGTTTGTTGTAAATCACAAGAGTTATCAGTGTACAGCATCCATCCATTTCTTCTTTGTGTGTTTTTTGTATTTTTTTTGTTCTTTTACCATCAAATAGGAGGAGCTTTTCTTAGTGCGTTAATACTTCATTGGGGAAACTCCACCCACTTGACACCACACAAGCTATACATTTTTTTTTTGTTTAAACTAAACAGAAAAAATTGATATTATAGTGCTGAGTAGATATATTAGGGTGCTTAGAATATTGAAATGCCTAAAATGGCTCCAAGAATGTACGATAAATGAAAATACATATCTGTTTTAATTGGATTTTGACAGGCCTCTATTAGTTAAAAAAAACCTTTAAGTCCGTTTAGACTATAGCTTTTATTATGATAATTTGCATTATCACGTATTTAATTGATAAATGATTTTGCACCAAACAAATATATTATTTCTCCTAAATTATACATATGATGCAATAATAAGGTGATGTATCAAAACAAAAACCTTTGTTTTTGTCTCGACCATCTGTCAAATTTTTCCTTATAATATTTCAAATGGTTGGCAACAAAGCACATCGAATTCAAGTAGAAATTACGAACTTTGACAGTTAATCGAGACATCAGCCGCGCTAAATGGACTACCTATTTATTGTGCCATGATCATACATTTACTCAAGACCTAAATGTCAATCAGCTGAGGTGTATACTTTTTAATTTGCGCCAAACACATTTGTTTGTAAAATAAAATTATAACAATTGAAATGTTCCAGCAATGTTTTGATTGGAAACTTCATTAGGAAAATATAGCCTAAAGGATTTACAAAATCCACTGGATCTTAAATGTCAATTCCATAGCGTATTCGTCAGATCTAATACACTATAATTTGTGAACTGGGTTAACGTGACGTATACGCAATGGAATTGACATTTGAAATCGAGTAGATTTAGTAGTCTAAACGCGTTCAATTTCAGGCTTTTATCATAATTTACTATAATTTGAAACCACATCTATCTTTATGCATTTTTAACCTAATGGAGAGCAATTTAAATTAGAATTATGAAAATATTGTTTGAATATTTAAGTCATAATTCTTCCAATTAATTTTTTTGTATCAATCAGCTGTCTGATAGTATCAGCTGACTGACATTTAAAGTAATATCAAAGCCAGTGTAAATAACCTTATTTTATTTTTAGGATTTCGCAAATCAACATAATATAAGGTGTGTATGTAAATGGGCAAATTAATAATTTTGTATGTATACTAAGAAACATCAAAATTATTAAAGGTGTGAGTAAACAATTTGTGTGTATTTCTGGATTTCATTAATCGAGTCGAATTAAAATCGTATATGTAAATCCACTTTAATATTCACTCAATATCTAAATTTACTCGAAATAATATACTATATATTCAGATCTCACGGTTGACAACATTGCACGTCGAATTCAATCGGATCAAGATCTATTAATAAGGTCACCACATAGCGAAAGTCAGCTTTTTGTCAAGTCTGATGTGAAAAATATGGACTTTGTTTATGTTTTTATAATTATAAGGTTCGTTTCCCGTACTGTTTGATAGTAAAGCTAGTAAAAGAGCGAACTATCAAAAATTACTCTCACATACAAGATTTGCGCAAAAAGTAAAGGAACGAAAAATAGTTAAAACAAAAAGAAACGTCGAAATCAAAAATTTCATTTGTTAAGGACAAAAAAAAAAAAAAAAAACTACAGAAACCTTATGCACAAAAAAAAAAAAAAAAAAACAAAAAATGGCTGGACGCTTCCATAATGTTAATGCTATTGAAATTGGTAGATATTTTGATTGGAATGTTTTAGCAAACTTGAACAAAAAGATATAGAACAAGTCAAGTTTAGGGGCTCCACTCGGATCATTTTGAAATGATTACCGTAAGTAGCCCTCCTTGTGCGGATCACAGATATATAAATTTCATGTGGGGAAATGCATACTTCCCGAGATATTGGCCTTGAAATTTCGGAACATATTTTCTATAAAACAACCATTTTTCTATTGCCACCAAGGCAATATGGGTATCATTAAAAGGTTATATCGGGTACTTTTTAAGAGAACTTAAGAATAAGACTTTCACATATGGACAGGCGCATACATGGTTAACCTTTAAAATTAACCTTTAAAATGATACGGTTGATTAAAACAACATACTCTCCGAACTTTCAAAGCCCATTTCGCGGGAAGTATGCATTTCTCCCTATAAAATATATATCACTGTAATCAGTTCGCCGAGGACTACTTACTGTAAAAATGTCAAAGCGATCCAAGTGGAGCCCCCAAACTTGACTTAAGCCCAAGATATTTTGGACCAATGTACACACATTGGTTAGTACGATTAACCAACCCAACCCAAGTCTTCATTCTACAGTACCTTCATCTGAATCTTCTGCCAGCCATTCATATTCGCTATCCTTTAAAAGAGAATAAAAAATCTCTCCATTTTTAAATTTCTTATTTGTTTTTTTTCAAGCAAATGTGTGTGCGTCTGTGCGTGTGTCCCTTTTGTTGAAGCGCTAACTTTCATATGCTTTATTTCGGACTGTATATCTCTGGCAATCAAATGTCAAATTCATAATTTACTACATTTACTATTTCCTGCTAGCCCAAATTGGTCTTGCAGAAAATAGGAGAAGAGAATGCCATTTTGGTTTTAACTCTCTTAAATTTAACATCAATTTTCCCTACTTTTCGACGTAAGGAAACGCTTTTCTAGCAAAAATTGCAAAACTAGTACAATATAGTACTATATTGCAGGATTGGGAACACAGCTATTGTCAATTCACAATAAAGGATTTTGACAGCAAACTTGAGAGACAGGTGATATCCAGCTTGTCTCCCTGGATGACCTTATACGTATCTATTGTGCCATGGACGCATCTTGGTATAATTATTGCAAGGTAGGGTATAGTTACCAGCTGATTACAATTGTTTCTCAGTGTGGCTTGTTTTTAATGTCATCTCAAATAAATTCAAATTAAATTGAAATCTATTTAATTTTTATAGCAATGAATATGATATTGTTTAACGCGTTCGCCCTACCTTTTATTATTGTACCATGGTTGCTAATTATATAATGTCATTTTATAAAGGAATAGCAGAGTCGTATTTGACTGTCTTTAAATGTGTGTTTAGATTTCCAAAATTGACGTTTTAAATCGAGTGGATTTAGTAGTCTAGACGCGTCTTTAGTTATTGACACTTTACAAACATAAAAAGCTACATAAAGACGCATGCATGTATGTCAATTATTGGTCTGTTATCTACAAGAATCTAAAATTTTTTACTACATTAACAATTTTTCCTTTATGACATCGAAGGAAATAGTAAAATCTAGTGGATTCTTGCAGTACGGGAACATACCATATGTGTATCTTCCTTAACTTAAGGTGCTTTTACACTATATGTTTTTTCACATACATATGTGCTGTCACGTTATTTACATATGTAACTCGAAATCGTTGTGTGAAACATACGGACATTTCAATGTGTCAAAACGATATGTAATTACATATGTGTATTTTTTCCGAATAGTACG